CTCGGCTGAGGATGGAGGGTAAGACTGCTATGTATGGTTGCTCAGGTTGTGCACTGCACAACCCTAAGGGCCCCATTTGCATCACAGATATCATAGATATGGGGGCTTGTTATGACACTTTTCATAATAAAATCTGGTAATAAAGTGATTTGTTCCAACAAAAAGTATATTATGACTATTTTCTGACAGATTGAGGAAGGGGTACCTTTTTCTAATTCACACCAGAGTTCTGTGTGGGCTAGTAGTGGCACAGTTATTGGATGGCATCACTGCCTGCTTCTTCTGGAGGGAGGGAATCATATTCTAACAGGTAAAACCAGGATTCTTATATTATCTCTATTTCGGGCAGCAAAGTACCAATGATCAAGTATGACCTTGTTAGCAGGCATCCACAAGAGGCAGGGAGCGTGGTGGTTAAGAGCGGGGATCAGAGCCATTAGGCCTGCCACCTACTAGCTGTGTGTCTTTGGACAACTTGCTTAACCTCTATGTGGCTCAGTTTCCAGTTCTGTAAAGTAGTGACAATGACATTACCTGTCTCACAGGGCTGTGGTGAGTCTTAAATGAATTTATATATGTAAGCATGTAGAAAAGCCCCTAGCCTGCAGTAGGTGTTAGCTGGTTTTATTAAAGTGGCAGAAGGCCTTCCTCATAGAAGCATGGTCTTGAGAATATGAGCTGACCCCCGTTTTCACTCAGCTGCATTTTCATGGAGGGGGTGGGTTTACAGTTGGGACAACCTTCAGGAAGAAGACCAAGATATTTTAGCTTGTGCCCCTTGTTCAAAGGAATGATTCAGTACAATTCAGGTCCTGCCATCACTGCCTAACAACATTGACCGCATATTTTTACCGCCTAGATCTTGCTGTAATTTTGTAGATGGAATTTCTTAAAGGGTTTTATATATTTTATCATGATCACTAAGTTTGCAGTATTTAAAAATAGACGTGCAAAAGATACACAGTGCAGGCTATAAAACACCCTCAAATGGCATTAAAATGGGAACGAATCCATTCGTTTGGGTTTCAGCTGAGTTTATCTTGTGTTTCATTTTTTTAACATCCAAAGAGCTGTAGAAATAGGTTATTGAGCAGGAACTTGGCCAGGCCAGGGCTCTATGCCATGTGGGCACTTGTGAGCGCTGGCAAAGCCTTCGGAATTTGATCCTGATTGAAATGTAGTCATTTTCCCACCTGCAAAAACAGTTTTCTCCAGCAAACCTGGGGGTGCAGAGAGGGTTTATTCACTCCCACCCTCCCCAGCGTCGATCTTTCACTTTCCATTAGGCTCAGTGCCCTCATATCAATGCTTATATGATGGAACCCTTGGAGAATATTCAGTATGTTTGTTTGTGTTACTAAACTTAAAAAAATGTTTGCCCTCGTGCTTCCTATCAGTCTGATGAATGAGTCATGTGAAATTGAAATCAACCTCTCTGGGGTCTTGCAGAACCCCCAGGACCTAGTAGGTCTTAACGAACTCTGTGAAATGTGTGGATGAATATATTTTGGCCCCTGCATGAAGAGGATGGGCTTCAAGGTGGCAGGTCATAGACATTTGGTGGAGAGCTCAGAATGACAGGCATGAGCCAGGACCTAAAGAGGCAGGATGGAAGACATGGACATGGGCCAGCCCTGGCATCAAACCCATCACTTCCCAGCTGTGGGACAAGGGGCGGGTCTCATAACCTCTCTGAACCTTAGGTTTCTCATCTACAAAATGGGAACAGTGTTTTTACGTATGCCTCTGATGGTTTTCATAAGCGTGAAACGAGCAGATGCAGATGGAATGTGTAGGATCAAATGTGTATGGTCAGTGCTCATTATGTGTTAGTTGTTGATGATAATGATGATGGTGATGACGATGATGTAGTGATGATGATGATAGTGGTGATGATAATGATTTTGATGATGGTGGTGGTGATAGTGATGGCGGTGATGGTGGTGATGATGATTTTGATGATGGTGATCATGATGATGATGTATCTTTGTATTTTTACCTTTCGTTTAAAAAATTATTCTCAAAACTCATAAAGCTATTCTATATTTTCTTCCAAATGTTTTAATAGTTTGCTTTTCATCTTTAGCATTTAGTGCATCTGGAGTTTATTTATGTCTATGAGGTGGGGTAGGGTATTCCAAATTCCAATATAGGGTAGAAATTCCTATATTGCCACATCTCGAAGAAGTTCTTTAGTTCTTTTTCATTGGTCAGAATGAGCTTAAGAGTTTTAGATCTCTTTCCATCCTCTGGGAGATGAACTTGGCAGCAAGGTGATTTAGGATTTTATTGTTTCTTTTTAAGCTAAGGGAATCTTTTCACAGGTATGTCATTATTTAAATCCACCACTAGATTATTCATCCATCCACCCATTTATCCATCCTTCCATCCATCCATCCCAAACTGCTTGTGAGTCAGTATGTTCCTTCAGTCTGAATATTCATGTCCTTGTTTGATTTTGGAAAAACTTTAGGTGTTATTTCATCTAAAAGTGCTTTTCTCTCATTCTCTATTTTCTTCTTAAGGAATATTATTAAATATTTGTTGGAGCTTTTCATTCTGTCCTCCATGTCTCTTAACTCCTCTTAATATTTTCCACCTCTTAATTTCTGTATGTTGCATTCTATGTGATCTTTTAGCTCTATCATCTCATTAACTGATTTTCTTTTTCACTGGGTCTAATCTATTGTACTAGGCCAATAGGACAGGGACGGTCACATGTAGGACAGTGATATGATGTATAAATGGAAAACTTCAGTGCAAACAAGAACTTGGAGCCAGACATGACTAGGAAAAAGAAGGAAGCCATGCCCACTTCCCAGAATCCTGGAGAGATAGGTTGAGCATTGGCCCCTGCCACACATGTCATGGGAGCTGAGCCAGTGTCATTTGAGCTGGCATCTTGTTACCCTGGTATTTTCCAGAATTGTATGATGTTTGACTTAATGTTAATATCCAGATGTTTATTTTCATTTATGGCTCTTTGGGATTTTCATGGGAAATTAAAAAAAATGGTGGTTTAGAACCTTTCTGTGTTTGAGTAGTGGGTTGTCCTTGGAGAGCATGTTGACAAAAGCACCTGCCTTGGATTTCACATTGGAACATCAACTTCAGAGATGTTTTGGGATGGAGGATTCCTGTTCAATACCCATTAAACTTGTGCCCCAGTACAAAGGCGTAGGACTTCCCTTGGGCTATGCTGTGTGACTTGTCTGAGTAACTCTCCTTCTCTGAGCCTCAGTTGCATCATCTGTAGAGTGGGGAGACTAACTGAGCTTTGCCTGCCTTCCAGGAGTATACTGGGTGTCACATGACCTCTAGATATAAATGTGCTTTGCAAACCGTAAAGTGTTTTGGATGCTTGTGAATCATGGCTAGGTGAGCTTTGGGGAGAACTTCTCTCCATCAGATGCTTGTGTTTGGTGCTGGCTTTTAATCCCAAATGACCAAGGGAGGGGACCCTTGAATGACAATGCCATTTGAAACTCCTTTAAGAGGTCTATGCACTAAATTACAGGTTAGTTCTTATTATGCAATGGCTTTGATGAGCCCTATTTCTTTCTGGGCCCATCACTCACCACATAGACGGGCCTGTGTGATCGTGTGCAGATCTTGAAGTGAGTGACATTACGTTGGGGGTGTGTGAGAAAGAAAGATGCCTTACAAGTTACAGACTCTAATTCTTCATTTCCATGATGAATAATAGTAATGATAATAGCTTCCATTTGCTGAGTGCCACTGATGTACTCGTCACTTTACGTATATTAACTGCAAAGTAGGTGCTATTATTTCTGTTTTACAGATGAGGGTCTTGTGGCTTGGAAGTGTCAATGAGAAGGGACTTTCTCTAGGTTGTAAAGTTTGGAAGTGGCAGAATTGGCAGTGGGATCCATGCTCTCTGATGCCAAAGTCCATGTTCCCTTTAGGACATCATGCTGGTTTAGATCTGGCTTTTGTTTTTAGCCAGACAACCAATCGACTAATCAACCAATTGATGAACAACCACCACCCAACCAATAACAACCACTCTAATAAACAGTCCATCAACTAACCATCCATCCCTCCATATAACCAACCAACCAACCTGTTGTTAACAACCATTTACTCAACCAATAACAACCAACCAATAATTAGTCAATCAATTAACTATCCATCCAACCAACCAACCAACCAACCAGCCAACCAATGAACAACCACCCACTCAACCAATGACAACCAACCAGTAATGAGTCAACCAGCCACCAACCAACCAACAGCGTGTGTTGCTATCAGTCCTCTGGTCATCAGTGAACTTTGGGGTGGAGAGAACATATTGCCCCATCCTTAGGGAACTGCCAGTCTGTGGGAAAGTGAGGACCACTGTCCTGCTCATCACACTACCACCAGTTGTTGGTTCAGCATCTGCCTCCTCAGCTGGCTTAGAACTTCTGTAGGGTGGGGGTGATGCCTTGGTTGCATCCCTAGAGCCCAGAACAGGAGCAGCACATCGCTGGCTGGGATGGAGCTGGTGGGGGCTCAGTAAATATCACACACACACACCGTGGGACAATTCAGAACACTGTGGGATGAATGAAGGAGCCCGGTTAGAAGTGGCTCAGGGGGTCAGATCCGTCCCAGAGGGTTGTGTAAAGGAAAGGTAAGACGATCCTCTGGTCTGGAGAGTTACCTCTCGGGTGTAAGCAGAACAAACACTTCCATGGATGCTGCCTTGAGCTGAGCGCTCACTGGGCTCCATTCTGGATGGGGAGCATGACGTGTCTGGAAGAGCCTTGGATTGGGGTCAGGGGTCTGAGTCCAGCTGAGCCACTAACACCTTGGGTGGCCTTGGACCGCTGGCCTCAGTCCCACCTCCACCCCCACTCCCTCATTTTATGCACGAGGCCACCGAGGCCCCAAGACCTGAGCTCGCCCCTCTCCAAGGCCCCTTCTAGCTGTGGCATTTCCAGTCTTTTCTGGCTCCTCATTAACAGAATATTTTCATTTTCCAATCTGCATTCCAGCTTCCTCCCACGAGCCTCGACCCCTCTAGCAGGGGAGCGGGCACCGTGTGAAATTCTCTGAATTGCACATGGGGGAACCTTGCCCCATCTCCAACTGAAGGGGCCAGAGGCTAATTGGCAGGCCTGGCCGCATCCTGTATCAGCCCCACGGACGTGCACGCGGGCCTGGGAGCCGGGCGCTGCCGGGAAACGCGTGCTCCTTCTCTCTATGTGTTACAGGCCCCGTGGTTCACCGTCTGCTCGGAAATTGGGTAAGTGTTTTCTTACCCAAACTTGAGTAACCGCTGTTGAAATGTATGGTTGGAAAGTCTTGGCTCTCAGAACAGACCACACAGTGACTCGCCCAGTGAAACTCAATGCCCTGGGCTTACTCGGCTTTACCTACGACACCGCTACAGGAAGAAATGGGTTTGGAGGGGTTGAATATCTTTCCATCCATTTCTGAAAGGTTTTATTAATTGGAGGAAGGCGGACGGGTGTTGGTGTAGCTCTGCTTTTAGCCTGGAAATGGCCTCTGGTGCAGGGGCAGGAAGAAAGCCCGAGAGACAGGGAAGGAGCATCCCTGGGGCCTCTTGGCCTTGGAGGCTGGCGGCGGCTGCCTGATGCATGTGTCCAGTGGGAGCTGGAATCAACGAGGGTTCCAGCCGGGCCCACCGTGGCTTGTGCCACATTCTGGCAGGCTTCTCGTCAGCCAGTGCAGGCCCCATTTTTAATCAGCCTCTTTTTCCCTCACAAGCCAAGAAAAAGCTGTAAAGTCAAAAGAACTCTGGCATCTGTTCCCGGCCTCAGAACAGAGCAGATATTGTCCTGGCCTTCCAGTCCTCTGTGGCCCTCATTCTTGTCGACCACACAAATGGTTCCAATCAGTTTCCAGAGGCTCTCTGTGGTGTTTTAGGATGTTTGCTTGCTGCATTCTAGGGTCAGTGACCCTCCAACCTGGAAAGTCACCTTCCCACCCACTCTTCCTGCTGACACAAAACGGAAGATCAGGTGTGAGTTGGACCTGTGTGTGTGTGTGTGTGCACGCCCAACGAGACACCCAGGAGAGGCTGTGGAGCCTCTGCATTATTCGTGGAATGTCCATGTGTATGCTTCTCTCCTTGGAATGCAGGAAACACAGGGCCTGCAAGACCCATCTCAGCTCTCAGGTGACCCTTACTTGTTGATGGGGCCACGCCCACCTTTCCACCTTGTCCCCGGGGGCTTGACCTTTCCTGTCTGAACCCTTTTTGGGGCTGACAATGGCTGTGTCACTCACCCTCTGCAGGGGACACAGGGCCTCACAGCTGTCGGGGAAGTGGGACGTTCTCCTCCTTTATCAGAGAGCATCAAATCTAGAAGCTTTGTATGCCAGGCTTCCAGGCAGCAGGTTAGCAAGGTAGAAGGGACGAGCGTCTCCTCGCTGCCAAACAAAGTTGGATTTGTTGACTGAGCGGCAACCTGGACTTGGAAATCAAGTCCTGCAACAGAGGACTGGCCTCCCTGCCCCCGCACGGCAGAAAGAGCCGTCTGTGCAAGAGCACAGTCCTTCTCAGTGCCCCTTTCCAGATATGAGACTTAAAGTCTGATCTATTTCTTTCCAGCGACGGAAATGAATCTGGAGGACCCCTCGTGGTGGGACAGGCATAATTGTGACTTGCTGAAGGCCGACTGGCTGCCAGGCACTGTGTTAAAGACCCCGTGTTAACGTCTCTTTCTAGTGTTGAAGGCACTTCTTTCTCTGTTGGGGAGAGGAACTGTAAACCCTGATTTCCCACAGTGTATTCAGCCAAGAGCGGGTAACTGGAGGGTCACAGAGGCTCTGGTTCCCTTCCCCTTCCTCCCTCATCCCATCTCCATCGTCAGCCCGGCTGCTCTGTCTCAGAGAACTGAGGCTCTCTAATGTATTTGGAGGTGTCAAGCAAATACGCCCATGACCCCCCAGCACTGAGACTGTGTGAGGGGAGAAAGGTCAGAATTCTTCTTTTTTTTTATCTTTGACTGCGTTGGGTCTTCGTTGCTGCGAGGCCATTCTCTAGTTGTGGCGAACGGGGGCCACTCTTCGATGTGGTGTGTGGGCATCTCACTGCAGTGGCTTCTCTTGTTGCAGAGCATGGGCTCTAGGTGTGTGGGCTTCAGCGGTTGTGGCATGCGGGCTCAGTAGTTGTGGCTCACAGGCTCCAGAGCGCAGGCTCAGTAGTTGTGGTGCACGGGCTTAGTTGCCTGTGGAATCCTCCTGGACCAGGGCTCGAACCTGTGTCCCCTGCGTTGGCAGGCGGTCTCTTAACCACTGCGCCACCGGGGAAGCCCCAGAATTCTTCACTGCCTCTGTCACAGGTGGGCCTTTGGAACTAGATACTGAGACAGGTTGGGTATAAGACTTTTTTGGGGGATTAATACTTTTGAAAGGAAGGCAGAGGAAACAGGACTGGGTAGAGGAAGAAGCTGAACTTAGATGTGGCCTGGTAGAGCCTGGGCCAGTCTGATGGGGCACTTGGAGTGAGGACTGTGGTCAGAGTGTCTGTCGGCTTAAATGCCCAGCCCTTATACCTACGCCTCTGGGAGGCTGGCTTGGCCGGGCAGCTCTCTGCAGCTGGGAGAGACCTGAACGGACTGACAGCTAGCTGACCACACTCCCTACCACTGGGAACCGGAACACAGTTTTATTCTAGACCAGCACTTCCTAATTGTGCCCTAGGACCCTGGGAGTTCTGTGAAGGTGAGAAAGAAGGGCCTGTGAGTGGTTTCAAAATTCAAAACATGTGTCTTTATAACTGAAATGAAACCACAGCCAAAAGTTGTCTTTGCCTTGGTCAGACTTGATGAGCAGATGCTGGCAGCATTGGGCTGCACAACTGCAGACGTGTTGAGGGTGGGGCTTGGGGCCAGTCACTCACTCACCACTTACCCACTCTCCCTTGACCAGACTCTAGTCAGGCACCTCTGAGCACTTTTTCAACGAGGCCTCATCCTTGGGCATGTCCTCGAGAGCCCAGTTTTAGCCAGAAGCCTGCTCGGTGGGTTTAGCCAGAGTCGCCCACCTTTGACTTCTGACCACCCGACCTCCTCATCCCCACGCTCCCTGCTGATGTCTGACCCCCTGGGCTGCCTTCAGCAAGAACCCTGTTGGGTCTGGGTAGCCAGAGTCTCCCTCATCCATCCCTGATGCTTCCTACTATTAATGTTCCATCTGTTGACACTGGCTGTAAATTCTCACTTTTCATTGTTGAATTCAGAGTTGAGTCCAATCTCTGTTTCTTTCCTCCTGCAAAATCTCATTGCAGTGGACCCTACACCTATTGCAACAGTCTTGAATAAAGGCTGCCTCACCATTTTAACAAGGGTCATGAGTGGTTTTTTTCTTTAACATCATCATCACCACCTTTCTCACTATCACTGTCATCATCCTCATCATCATGGGAGGATGGACTAGACACCTTCTGGGTACCGAGGCAGAACTGTGTCCTGGAGGGCTGAAGTCACAGCTCAGTTTGACAAAGACCTGTGTGACAGCACTGTCAGCAGCTGGTTGTTCCCTGTTCCCTGAAAGGCCTCGAGTAGCAGGGCAGATAACAGAAATGATCGGCATTTGGGGATGTAAGGAAATATGGCGTGGTGAGCTACGATGAACTGCCTGAAGATAATAAAGTCCAGAGTTTTACCAAACAAAGTGATGGCCAACAAAACCCACGTGAGGGATGAATCCAGCCCAAAGGTCCCTAGTTTGTACAACTGGCCTGGAGGGTTGTTTTCTTCAGATTCAGTGAGTTTCCCAAGCCTGGACAAAGAGACACGGATAGCCATTTGTCGGGGATGGGAGGCCACGGGCTGTAGTGGGAAGGTGGTGGTTTCGGAGTCAGAAGGTTTGGGTGTGAGTCCCAGACCGCAGCGCTGGCCACGTCGGTCAGTCAGTGTCTCTGAGAAACGGCAGCCGAGTTAGTCCGCGCCTCGCCTCACTCAGCTGCCGACAGCAGAAGACGCTTGGCTCTGTGCCCAGCACTCAGGGGAGGTTCACTGTGACCCTAACTGGCTTAGGGAGTTAGTGGCTAAGACAGTGGAGGTCCCTGCACTCCTCCTCCTCCTTGTACACCACACGCGCTCACACACTCATTCGCTCTCCCCCACACACACCACTTTCAATCCTGCAGCTCCTGTCGCCCGCCTAATCCCAGAAACACCCCGTAGACCATCTTTACATGCATTCCTGGGAGATCATTTCCTTCTTCTCCAGAAGATGCATCATGATATCAGTTAAGAACAATGAACTCAACCCTGCGGCTCTCCTGGCTCTCTGGGGCTAAACTCTGACCCAGGATCTGCTGCCTCTGGGCTTTCTGAGTAAGCAGGCCTACCCCAGCATACCTTGCCTCAGGCCACCCAGTCTTTCCCTCCCCTGCAGGAAGCCTGTGGGTGGGCTCCCTCCCTCCCATCGGGCTGCCCAAATGGGGAGGCTCCTCCCCAAGATTTTAACCCTTTCTTGTAATGGAAGGACCAGGGAGGCAGTGTCTTCTCTCGTCCACAGCTGCAGTGGATCCCGGTAAGAGGCCAGCTTCTCCAGATCTGCAGGAAATGGTCCACTTGCTTGGTGCATGCAAGCCCTCAGTAGATGCCAGCTGAATGGATGCTTCCCCTAAGGAGCAAGCTGGCCACGCCTGGACCTCCCAATGCCCTGGGCATGCAGTGGCTATCTGCTGATTTTGCCCACTCTGCACCCATCTCCCCTTTGTTCCCCTTCAAGGAATCAATCACCTTCCCTCCACCCCCGGTCCACTTGACTGCAGGAGCATAGGACCTGGGCTCAGCAGTGAGAATACCCTTTCCACCCTTTCTGACCACAGTGACTGGTTCGGAGATGTCGTATGACCCAAATGTATCTAGTGAGAGCCCTCCAGGAGTCTTCTGCTGGAACACTGCAAAGGAGACGCTCCGTTTGCCCTGGGATTGTCAAGCTGTGATGATTTGGACGTGAGGCTGCCCGAAGCTCCTTGCCATCCCTGTGGGAGAACCTACCCAAAATGGAACCCGGAGCAGAGGAAAACAGCAGAGGGAAGGAGGGAGACCAGGACCTGGGAGCACTGTGTGAGCCTTGTCCATATTAACTGCAGCACAGACTCTCTAGTTAGGAGAAGCAAGTAATCCCCTGATTGGCATGAGCCAGCTTGAGATGGGCCTCAAGTCTTAATGAATACAGGTCGCAGGTTGAGGGGTGCTTAAACATCTACTTAAAATGGCTTACAAGTCATTTAAAACCAGAAGTTTATAATGATGACAA